ACTTTCCTTATGAATATGAAGTGGAAGTGATGAACAGATTTAAGGGATTAAATCTGGTAGACAGAGTACCTGAAGAGCTATGGACAGAGGTTTGCAAAAATGTATAGGAGGCAGCAACAAAAAACATCCCTAAGAAGAGCAAGAAAGCAAAATGGCTGTCTGATGAGGATTTCAAATTAGCTGAGGAAAGAGGAAAAGTGAAAAGTAAAGGAGAAAGGGAAAGATGTACCCAACTGAATGCAGAATTATAGAGAATAATAATAAAAGATAATAAAGTTTTTTTTAAAATGAGCAACGCAAAGAAATAGAAGAAAAAAGAATGGGAAAGACAAGATCTCTTCAGGAAAATTAAAGATATCAAGGAAACATATGCAAACAAAAACGGGCATGATAAAAGACAAAAATGGTAGAGACTGAACAAAAGTTAAGAAGAGGTGGCAAGAATACACAGAAACTACACAAGAAATATATTAACATCACTGCTTACCATGATGGTGTGGTTACTGATCTAGAGCCAGACATACTGGAGAATGAAGTCAAGTGAGTCTTAGGAAGCATCGTTAATAATAAAGCTAGTGGAAATGATAGAATTCCAGCTGAGCTATTTAAAATCCTAAAAAGATAATGCCGTTAAAGTGTTGTGCTCATCACGCCAGCAAATTTGGAAAACTCAGCAATGGCCTATAGATCAGAAAAGGTCAGTTTTGGTCCTATCTTAAAGAAAAGTAATGCCAAAGAATGTTCAAGTTACTGAACAATTGTGCCCATTTCACACACCAGCAAGATTACACTTAAGATTCTGGAAGCTATGCTTCAGCAATATGTGAACAGAAGATTACCAGAAGCGCAGACTGATTTTCAAAGAGGCAGAGGAACTTGAGACCAAATTGCCAACACTTGCTGAATCATGGAGAAAGCAAGGGAGATCCAGAAAAACATCCACTTCTGCTTCATAACTGTGTGGATCACAACGAAATGTAGCAAGTCTTCAAAGAGATGGGAATACTACATCATCTTACTGGTCTCCTGAGGAACCAATATGCAGGGCAAGAACCAAAAGTTAGACTCAAACATGGAACAACTGATTAGTTTAAGACTGGAAAGGAATACGACAAAGCCATATACTGTCATCTTACTTAACTTATATGCAGAGTACATCATGCAAATGGACAATCAAAAGCCAGAATTAGGATTTGCTGGGGAAAATATGCAGATATGCAGATAATACCACTCTGATAGCAGAAAGTGAAGAATTAAGAAGCTTCTTGATGAGGGTGAAAGAGGAGAGAGGATAAGTTGGCTTGAAGCTTAACATTAAAAAAAAAACTAAGATCATGGCAACTGGTTTCATTATTCCCTGGCAAACTGAGGGAGAAGAAATGGAAGCAGTGGTGGATATTATATTGTTGGGCTCAAAGATCACTACAGACAGTGACTACAGCCATGAAATTAAAAGATGCTCTTTGGAAGGAAACCTATAGCAAATCTAGACAGCATACTAAAAAGCAGAGACATCATCTTGCTGACAAAGTATGGCTGTGAGAACTGGACTATAAGCTGAGTGCCGCAGAACTGATGCATTTGAACTACAGTTCTTGAGAAGACTTCTGACAGTCCCTTGCATAGAATGGAGATCAAATCAGTCAATAATTAAAGAAATTGATTCAGACTACTCATTAGACAGATGAATACTGTAGCTGAAGCTTAAATACTTTGGTCACATGAGAAGACAGTACTCATTAGAAAAGACCCTGATGTTGAAAGACTGAAGGTAAAAAGAGAAGGGGATGGTGGAGGATGAAATGGACAGTGTCACAGAAGCAAAGAACATGAACTTGGACAGACTTTGGGAGATAGTGGAGGACAGAAGAGCATGGAGTGCTATGATCCATGGGGTCATGAAGGGACACAAATAAATGAATAAAGAACAATATCATTTCTTTGAAGAATTCTAATTGTTCTTGTAAGAGAGCTATTTTTTTCTTTGAGGTTCTGACTACAGGCGTTTTAAGTTGTTTTCTCTTCTGTATTGCATCTCGGTCAGCCCTGGCATCATAAAAATTCTTCAAAAATCAAACCAAACCAAATCCCAAATATTTAACTTCTGTTGCTGAGGTCGCAGGAGTTGAGTTTTAGGTCTCCCTTACTTTGGGTATCAAATCAAAATGAAGAACTTTCCTTTGTCCTGGTGGTCTTTCTTTATGCTTTTTTCTTCACCATGGACAATAAAACTTTCCTCTACTGTGATCAGCTCTAGTTGAAGCCCTTTCCTTTGCATTATGAAAAAAAGGAAGAGGAGGCCAGTTCTTTAATCCTTAGTCAAATGCAAGGGTGTCTTGCCCTGGTGAGAAAGAGGAGGGCCTTTTTATTTATTTTACTATGGCAAAGGTACTTTTCTTCCACAATCTTTTTTCCCTCCCTAAAATCAACATCAGCTTGGGTGGAGGAATTTTTTTTTCTTCATGCTAAGGCTTTTGGGTTTTTTAAAAAAATCTTAGTGAGGTCTGTCAATTTCACTTTAGTCCCTCAGGGGGTTTCTTATGGCTGAGTTCTGAAGCCTTTCACTTTAATTTCTAATGGATCATATTTACCACTTGTTTAAGAGCTGGTTGTTTAGTAATCTGGTTGTTTAATGGTGGGATAGAGCTGAATTATTCTATTTCCTCCTACTCTGCTACCATCTGCCATTTTCTTCCAAAGACCATAATCTAAGTTCTCTCAGAGCATGCATTTGTAAACAAAAATATTTTATGCATAGTTCTGTATTTATTCTGAATTTTTTAAAAAAATAGGTACCATTTCATTTATTTGACAAATATATATTGAATGCGTAGTTTAGAATAAAATTGACAGAATTTGAAAACTAAAAGGGATCATAGGATCATAGATCTACAAGAACTCTGAGGGACTTCAAGGTCATCTAGACCACTCCACTCCACTCCCTCATGTTACAGTTCGTAACCATCATTATTCGAACCCGTCTCTCTCCTACTGGCCCCTTGACTCATCATGATATTCAGTGGATTGTTGAGAAAAGTTATTTCTGTAGTTGTATTTGCCATAGAATCTTGTATAATTTTAATATTTACATTGCATTTAACATAACATGTTGTTTAAGGAAAACCTGTAAGGTTATACTTTATTCTAACAAGTCAACTGCTTTTTAAAAAAAATCAACCAATAGGTAACAATAATTGTTTGATTTTAAAGCACTCAGGGATTTTTTCAAGATAACAGAATGAGAAGAAAATTTCAAAAGAATGCAAAATAATAAGGTACTTTTATTTAAAGACAAGCTATCAAAAAGCTACAAACAACTCTTAAAATGTCTATTTTCTATTGCTACAAAATGTTTATCAGATGGTTTATGCAATTTAATTAACAAAGTAAAAAGTCAGGAAAGTATAGTTATTATATTTACTAAAGGCTTATATGTATTAAAGTAAAACAACATGAATATTTTTGACAATTTTTCCACTAATAATCATCCAGATGTGCTTTTGTTAGCACTGTCCCTGATCTTCATTTCTGCTCTAATTCTTCCCTACAAATATTTGAAATAAAAAACAAAACAAAACACAAACACTAATGTCAAACTACTGTTCTGAGAGCCTCAGAGTCAATGAACTAAACTTTTTGGTGAATAACAGAACAGTCTAAATGTGAAAAAGTCTACTGTAATTGATTCAATAAATTGTTTCCTCTATCATGATTGATACTGTCATAACAGGTTGTCTGGGATAATTTGGGTAAGTTATCCTGAAGCCATTTTGAGAATATTCAGAAAGCATTTAGTATTTTAGATTTTTTTTTGTATAGTATAAGAAAAATGAGACAGATCTATATTAGCTTCTTTTTCCAAAAAAAAAAAAGCACCAAACTTCAAGTTCTATTCTAATAAAAGACAACCACACAACTGTAATAACTTGGTAAAGTGCATTCAGATTTTGAAATTTATCATAAGAATTTAGAAGTAATAAAGAAAGCATGAAACTTGGCAATTCAAATCCAGAAACTCTAAAGTATTATCAAGATTTCATCTACCTCATCTTTATTTAGACTCATTCTCAGAATGACTACAGGGAGATGTTAGATGGAAACTAACAGCTTTTGGAACTCTGAATTATCAATGTTCCACCGTACTGCATATATGCAGAAGAAACAAAAATAATTTCCAAATTAATTTCAATCACATACAATCATGAGTCTGTTTTTTTGTAATTTTTAATGTAAGGGCAAAATGCATCTTGAGAATAATTTAGCCCCAGAACTATCAGGATCATCAAATTTTAATCTTTCAATTAAATTTGGGACCTAGAAGAAATTTTATCCTCTCCTAAAGAATAAATTGCTGCCAATTTTGTTAACTTTGTAGTAGTACAAATCCATTAATTCTGAGTAAAATGCCCCAGAGTAAACCACAAAAAATTGTGAATTGTAGTGTCAGAATTTAATATTAGGACTTTGTGTGATGTCACAAACCACATAAGCTATGATTATATGCTGTGTGTAGTAACAGGATGAGAGAAAAAAATTACATTACTATATCGGAAAATGTTTCTCAACATAAACATTCATATTTGTTTAGCTTTTTAGCAGTTTTTCCTTATGTTCCCCTCTCTCTCTCCACGATGAATTTCCCTGACATTTCACTTCCTTCTCCCTTACAACTCACTCTCCTCCATCCATACATTTATACATGCAACCTCTCCCATTTACTGAATATGTTGCTAAGCAGCTTTGAATAGCTGCAATTAATAACGCTTGATTATGGACACTGTGAACCTACTTATGTTTTCTCATTTCAAGGCCCTCACATAGCATCCATTCCTAAAAATGAAATCAAGAAAAGAGAGAATGGGATAACATGAATATGGTTGTCAAGAATGGCTAATGGCACTATATATTTTAAAATGACATTTGTAGGAGGCTTTCACAGATTTTTAAACATTTGAATAATGCTATATATGAAAAACAGGGTATCATGTAATTATGCTTACTTTGTGATTGTAGGAGTCTGCCACATAAAGTAAATTTCTTTTCTTATCCCAAGCCACTCCAAGTGGGTGCTGAAGCTTTGCATCGATTCCTGATCCATCAACATCCCCAAAAGCAAATAAATTCTTTTTTAGAAAAAGAAAAGGCATTCATTATTAAATTACTACAGTATTTTGGTTAGATATGTAAGACAAATTTAGAAAACAGCTTCATTTATCTAAGTTGAGGCAAAGAAAAGTTCTGGTTTTTGTCTAAATTGGGTTGGATTCCTAAATTGGAAGACCAGTAGTGCTGACAAAACTTCTAACCTCTATTACCTTTTAATGCTTTCTAATTTGGTTGTGGGCATATAAATGACCCAGTAGTCAGTCTGCTTTTTGCTACATGACAAAATGGCTTCTGCCTAACCTTTTTGGTCCTCAGCTTCTTCATCTATGAAACCAGGAGGTTGGATAAATGGCCTTTAAGGTCCATTCTCAGACAGTTGTCCTAAGGATCAAATGAGATAACATGCATAAAGAGCTTAGCACAGTGCCTGGCATATAGTAGCTACCTGATGAATTTTTGTTCTCCTCATTGTCTTCCATCTCTATAGATGGCTATCTACAGTATTTGGTTGTATCTGATGTGTTTTTGTCATGTATTATATCTTTCTGTCCTAACTTCTACATTAAATTGAGGGTAAGAATCATGCTTTCTCCTTCCTAAGTACCCATGGCTTGGTAACTTGGAAGCTCAATAAATATTGACCTATGCTCACAATGGCTGTAATAAAATTACACATGAAATATGTAATTTTCCTTACCATGGGATCTCTCTCTCCTCCTACAAGATGTTTTACTGCTCCATCTTTAAGTGAGACAGTTCTGACAGTACTGCTCTCACTGTCTGCTACAAATAAGCAGTGCCAAGGTTCTTCAGAAGCCACAGAAAGACCTGAAGGCTGGGCAAAACCTGCCTTGTGGGGATATGCATTGTTTCGATTCTCTTCATTTCCACTTCCAGCAAACCGAAGGCAAGTTCCTCTTGTCAACTCACTAAAGAAAAACAAATTCATAGGCCTGGTATCAAGGTTGATATGTTTTAAGCAATTCAGTTACTAAACAAAATACATGCAAATAATCAAATTAATGATCATTATTAAACAAAACTAACAAGTAATGATAAATATATACAGTACCCTGTATTTTGGCATATTAAACAAACACATAAGCCATTTTCAATTTTTTTTCCCATAACGCTTCCAAATTATTAACTGTATTCTCTGAAAAATACTCTTTACTTTTCATAAAAGCAAACTGAAGAACTGAATTATATAATAATAAAGAAATGAAATTTCCCAAAGGTCAAGTAAGGTTTTGGTTGTAGAGGGAAGATCAGAAGACAAAATGACTATAACTACTAGCCAGAAACAGTCTTTCTTTCAAAAGACCAAGGATGGTTGCAATTCAATCCCAACTCAACCATTCTGACTGCATCTTAGCATCAAAGAATTTTAGAAATTGTAAGGTACTTTAGAGCTTTTCTAATCTACCCATTCATTTTACTAATAAATAAACTTAAAGTCAGGGAAATAAGGGATTTAATTAACTAAGGTAAAACAGGTAGCAAATAGCAAAGGTAAAATTCAAATCCAAGTCCTATGACTCTAAATATATTACCCTTTCCACTATACCATTGCTTCTGTTTTTCTTGGTAGTTTAAATATTATATTTTCATTTTTAATTACATTTGAATTCTATATATAAGAACAAAAACAGTTAACCTATGAGCCTGAAGTTTTAAACAATCTGAAATATTTTTAACTGTCTGTTATTGAGTAAAAATAAATAAACTAGCTGTGCCATTATTTTAAGAAAACTGGCTACAGGTAAATTTCACTTTGGCAAAATCATGTGTAAACCAGATTTTCTTTAAAATGAATATCAGAAGACAGTGTTTCAATGTTCCATGGAACTCTCTGGGAAGAAACCCAAGGTTTCATAAGGAGAAAAGTTAAAATGGCAGACAAGTCCATAAAACAACAAACTTCTCTACTTTGCTTTCTGTTGTACAAAATACATACTTTAAGTTATGGGAGAAAAGACAGGAAATTTGTCAGAAATTGGTCATACACCTGAAAAGCTGGCTTGTTACTGTTTCTAGAATGAAATCACTGAATAATACAAGACATGCAATGAATTATCACTATCTCAGCACAGTGCATACAAAATAAGCAATATAGTAATAATTTTATTTTTTAAAAAGGAGTTATCAATAACTCCTTGTACGTAATTCAGTAAAAAAGCTGCTGTGAATAATTAAAAAAAAATGAGCAGGCAAAGGAGAAAGAACCCAAAAATAGAAAGCTACTATGGAAAGACAAGACTGGGAGATTCATCTTCAGAGGAGGAAATTCAAGCAAAAAAAGCTATTAAATGGTCACTTGCCCAAAAAGAATTCATAGAAGAACTTTAAAAAGACTTTAAAAATCAAATGAGAGAGACTGATGAAAAATAATAAAAAAAAGAACAATTCAAGAAAAAGATTATAAAAAGAAAGTTAACCAACTAGAAAAGGAGAACCAGAATTGGGCAAGGGGAAGCCAGCAAAGTAAGAGACCAAGAAATAACAAAACAAAATATAAAGAATGAAAAAAAGAAGAGAAAATGAGACATCTCATAAGAAAAACAACTGATCTGGAGAACAGATCAAGAAGAGAAAACACAAGAATAATTGGACTACCTTAAAGCTACGATCAAAAACAGAATCTTGATACAATAATATAAGAAATGATTAAAGAACATTTTCCTGAAGTGTTAGAATGAGAGGGGAAAGAAGAAATAGAAAAAATCCACTGATCACCACCTGAAAGAGATCCTATGAGGAATACCAATAAGAACATCATAGATTCTGCAACCTCCTACTCAAGGAAAAAATATTATGAACAAGAAAAAGCAATTCAAATATGGCATAGCCACAGTTAGAATCACCTAGCAGTGGCTACACTAAAAGACTGCAGGTGTTGAAACAATATATATTTTTTTATATATAAATTTATTTATTTTCAGTTTTCAACATTTACTTCCACAAGATTTTGAATTCCATATTTTCACCCCATCTTGCCCCTCCCCCCACCCCAAGATGGCATGCATTCTTAATATCCCTTCCCCTAGTCTGCCCTCCCTTCTATCTCTCCACCCCTCTTATCCTCTTCCCCTTCTATTTTCCTGTAGGGCAGGACAGATTTCTGTACCTCATTTCCTGTATTTCTTATTTCCCAGTTGCATGTGGAAACATTTTTTTGGTTTGTTTTTTAGGCAATTGGGGTTAAGTGACTCGCCCAGGGTCACACAGCTAGTAAGTGTCAAGTGTTTGGTCTGAGGCCGGGTTTGAACTCAGGTCCTCCTGACTCCAGGGCTGGTGCTCTATCCACTGCGCCACCCAGCTGCCCCGAAACATTTTTTTTTTGTTTTTAAACATGTGTTTTTAAAACTCTGGGTTCCAAATTTTCTCCCTTCTTCCCACCCCACCCACCCTCATTGAAAAGGCAAGCAAGTCAATACAGGCCATACATGTGCAGTTATGCAAAACACTTCCACAGTAGACATGATATGAAAACCTAACTCTATTTCCCTTAATCCTATCCTGCCCCCCCATTTATTCTATTCTTTCTTTTGACCTTGTCCCTCCTCAGAAGTATTTCTTTCTGATTACCCCTTTCCCAATCTGCCCTTCTCTCTATCATCCCCCTGCTCTCTTGTCCCCTTCCTTCCCTATTTTCCTGTAGGTTAAGACAGATTTCCATACCCAATTGAGTGTGTATGTTATTCCCTCCTTAAGCCAAATCCTATGAGAATAAGATTCCCTCATTTCCTCTCATCTTCCCTTTTTCCCTTCCACTGTAAGAACCTTTTCTTGTCTGTTTTGTGCAGATAATGTACCCCATTCTACCTCTCCCTTTCTCCTTCTCCTAGTACAATCCTCTCTCACCCCTTAATTTTATTCTCCAGATATCACCCCTTCATCTTCAACTCACCCTGCGCCCTCTCTCTCTCTATCTATCTATCCATACATACATATAATTTTTCCCCTCCCACTACCCTAATATGACAAAGGTCTCATGAGTTATAAATATCATCTTCCCATGCAGGAATGTAAACAGTCTCTTACGATTTCTCTTTCCTGTTTACCTCTTCATGTTCCACTTGAGTCTTGTATTTGAAAGTCAAATTTTCTATTCAGCTCTGGTCTTTTCATCAAGAATGCTTGAAAGTCCTCTATTTCACTGAATGACCATTTTTTCCCCTGAAGGATTATACTCAGTTTTGCTGGGTAGGTGATTCTTGGTTGTAATCCTATCTCCTTTGCCCTCTGGAATATTATATTCCATGCCCTGCGGTCCCTTAATGTAGAAGCTGCTAAATCTTGTGTTATCCTGATTGTGTTTCCACCATACTTGAATTGTTTCTTTCTGGCTGCTTGCAATATTTTCTCCTTGACCTGGGAACTCTGGAATTTGGCTACAATATTCCTAGGAGTTTTCCTTTGGGGATCTCTTTCAGGGGGAGATCAGTGGATTCTTTCAATTTCTATTTTGCCCTCTGGTTCTAATATCAGGGCAGTTTTCCCTGATAATTTCTTGAAAGATGATGTCTAGGCTCTTTTTTGATCATGGCTTTCAGATAGTCCAATAATTTTTAAATTCTCTCTCCTGGATCTATTTTCCAGGTCAGTTGTTTTTCCAATGAGATATTTCACATTGTTTTCTAATTTTTCATTCTTTTGGATTTGTTCTACTGTGTCATGATTTCTCATAAAGTCACTATCTTCCAATTGCTCTATTCTAATTTTTAAGGAAGTATTTTCTTCAGTAAGCTTTTGGACTTCCTTTTCCATTTGGCCAATTTTGCTTTTTAGGGCATTCTTCTCCTCATTGGCTTTTTGGACCTCTTTTGCCATTTGGGTTAGGCTATTTTTTAAGGTGTTATTTCTTCAGTATTTTTTTGGGTCTCCTTTAGCAAGCTGTTGACTTGTTTTTCATGATTTTCTTGCATCACTTTCATTTCTCTTCCCAGTTTTCCTCTATTCTCTTACTTGCTTCTCAAAATCCCTTTTGAGCTCTTCCAAGGCCTGGGACGGATTCATATTTTTCTTGGAGGCTTTGGATGTGGGAGCTTTGACTTTGTTGTCTTCTTCTGGTTGTATGTTTTGATCTTCTTTGTCACCAAAGTAAGATAATATAGTCTGACTCTTTTTGCGAGGTTTGCTCATGATCCCAGCCAACTACTTGAGTTTTAAATTTCTTTGTTAAGGTAAGTGTCTGCTTCCAATGTGGAGAATGTACTGTCCCAAGCTTTGGGGGTTTGTATAGCTGTTATCAGAGATGCTTCTAGGGACCTGTAAATTTTCAGTTCTTCCAAGGTGGTATGATAAGGGTTGAGGTGTTTGCTCTTTTCCTGGCCTGAGCTCTGGTCTTTGAGTGACCAGCCACAAGCAGTCTTTTCTCTCTTGGAATTGTGAGGAGGGTTTCCTCTCCACCACCACTACAAGCTCCACCACGCCAGCGCTCATCCTCACCCCAGGACCACCACCCAGAACTGTGACCCAGATCCAAGTACAGGCAAAGCAAGAGATTCCTGCCTCAGCACCAGCAAAGCAAAGAGATCCCTGCAGTCCCCCTCTGATCAGTCACTCGATTCCCCCTCAGTCTGTGGGCTGGAAGCTCAGGACACAGCCACCGCCCTGGCACCTGCACTCTGGAACTGGCTCTGACCTAGCTCTTCTCTCACTGCAAAAACAGACTTTTCCCACTGACCTTCTAAGTTGTCTTTGGCGTTCACAGATTGAGGAGTCTGGAAGCCGCAACAGCTGCCCATGATTAAGTCCTCTGAGGCCTGCTCTAGGTTCCCTGTGGCCTGTGCGCCCACGCCGAACTGTACTCCTCTCTCCGCCCACAGCAATATGTCTTTCTGATCAACCATCCAGGCTGCCTCCGGCTGGAAATTTGTTTCACTCTGTCTTTTTGTGGGTTCTGCTGCTTTAGAATTTGTTTAGA